GAAAATTTAAGAGACTTAAGCCAGCCATTTTGACTAAATAGAACATGATGGATGGATAGACTCCATACTCCACAGATGTAACTATGTAACCATCGTACCTTTTCATTCACCATGAGTATCATTGACATGACGTGCTCAAAAGTAGAACTCTCGGGATCAAAATTTGGCCACAGGTAATTCTCCAGGTACTGGCTCACTTCCAAAATCATTACCCTCTGCAGTGGCACAGGCTTTCTACCCCCTAGGATCAACAAAGAGTTCAGTACAAAATATCACATTTATTTAATCATAACACAAGATTCATAGCATGACTAGGTGAGCAGACAAGGTGAAAACCTAGTTTATCCCAAAAACACCTTGTCAACTTTGACCATTAAAGCTTGTGTAAGCTCAAATATTAGGTTCAAGGATTCTTCAAGTTATTTAAATGCGAAAGATGTGAAAGTTAACACTCCTTCTCATTAGTCTATACTGAAACTTATAAAAACAATGAAAGATCAATGCAGAAAAATGGGAAAAGATGCTACAAAGTTGGATACAACCATCTCCAAGCGCAAATAATATCAGGTAGAAAAACAATTTCTAAATTGTACAGCTTTGGGTTTTACCTTTTACTGTTAGCTCAGTATAGTAAATTTCATTCACTAAATTCGCATCAAAAGGCTTCTTGGCTGCAATGTCGGTTGTGCTCGACCAATTGGCAGCTGCAATTTTGGTGAGGCGGTCGCGTTGGATCTCACTGAGGGTTATGGAGCTAGGAACATTTGATATGGGTTTCGACTCAGGTGGCTTCTGGGGGATATCCACCACATCTGGCGGTTGTGGTACCCCCTCTACAGGGTATTCCGCCACTCTATGACGCCGGAAATCATAAAGTCCGGTTCCATAAACCTTCGTCATTGTTTATGTCTCTGAAATAAACGTTTAGTAAACGTATACCTCCGGCCAATATATATGCGTACAGCTCAAAGTACTATGGGAGAAATAGCCGAGATGGTTAGGGCTCCCAAAATTTAGGGCCCTCAAAATAAAATAGAGAATTTACCCAAAATAGGACTAAAAATGTTTGGAAATTACAAAATAGGACTAACATGTTTTTATTTCCAAAATAAGACTAATTACTGTCATGTTTTGGCAGTACCAGACTTCAAACATGACAGTATTTTCCAAACTTGACAGTAATTACTTATATTTAGGAAATAAAAAACATGACAGTCTTATTTTGGAATTTTCAAACTGTTTTAGTCCTATTTCGGGAATTTTCCCAATAAAATATTAAAATCAGCAGGGCTCACACATTTGAGGCAAGTAATTGTAAAAAAATACTCCGTATAAAAAGTTATTATAATTGTGCACAATTTAGGCTACAATGTTATTGAATCGATCAATATTATTTATTGGCCTTTTTATTCCAATATTACTAGAAATTGGATAAAAGATAAAAAAGTGATCTGTTTTTAAAAATTCAAAAAATGTGACTAACATCACAATTAACCCTGCAGTGTAAAGTGACTCCGGGCAAAGTGACTGCCCCACCGACCAAAGTTACTGCCCCGCCGCCACAGTGACTGCCCCGCCGCCAAAGTGACTGCCCCGCCGCCAAAGTGACTGCCCCGCCGCCAAAGTGACTCCGACCAAAGTGACTCGTCACCACTCCGCCGCCACAGTGACTCACCGCCACTCCGCCGACACAGTGACTCGCCGCCATAGTGACAGGAGGCCCCACCAGTCACAATTACTCAGCCGCCACGCCGGCCGCCGCCACTGCCACCACCCCAGCCTCGCCGCCACAACTACCACACCCCATCGCCCACCACCGCCCAACTAGTCCACCACCACGCAACCCTAGCTAGAAATCCCAGTCATTCAAATTAGATCTGGAATGTAACCAGCGCCGCACCACCGTCAATGCTCCATCCTCGACCAGTGCATCACCACCATCCCCACCGGACCTTCCCACCCCTCTTCGCCGTGACCCAACCGCCGCCTCCCAAACTGAGATCTAAGCCTCTGTTCATCTATTAACCTAACTGCTGTCCATCAGCGCCGTCACAGGCTTCACAACGAGATCCATTTACCACTGAAGAAGAATGGAGAAGAAGAGAATCGTGTGGAGGCGAGAGTGACGTCGGCTGGTGGAGACCAGGGGCAACGGCTGAGAGCGATGTCGACTGGTGGAGGGACTATCATCGGCTGAGCAACGAAGTGGAGGTGACGGACTGGTGGAGGCACAGGGTTGGGGGAGGAAGACGACATGCGGCGATGGAGGTATGCGATGAAGAAATGCGATGAAGAGAGGGGAGTGCGATGAAGAAAGGACCTGCGGGTCACTTTTTGGGAAAATGTAAAAGAAGTCATATATTTAGAAACCAAAAGCCCATTACTAATAACCGGGTAATTTTTTCTTATTTATTTGCTTATCATGTTTGTGCTTTATTGGTGCATTGGCACTTTGAATGGGCAAAATATATTATACACCCGGCTGTACCGTGTCACTTGGTACAGCCAGGTATTTTTGTAATTATATGCAAACCGGAGGTCATTAGTTAAGGATCATGACTTTTGCTTCCTCTGTTTCTCCTCCGTTCTTGCTTTTCCCCTATTTTTCTTTTTGCTTTTCCTTATAATTTAACTTTTTAGTTTTTACTCCTTTCTTCCTCTTTCGTTACTTTACTGCTCTTCCGTTTTTTAGTTTTGTTTTCCGTTCTTTTAGTTTTGCTTCTTGTTTTTCCTTTCTTTTTATAGTTCTGATTTTCATTTTTCTTCTTTTAGTTTGGAACTTTAATTCTTCTATGTTTCAATTTTCTTTTTCTTTTTTCTGCTTCGTTTTTCTTGTCTCTAAATTTGAACTTTAATTTTTCCAACTTTAAATTTTCGTTTTCTTTTCTATACTTCACTTTTTCTTTTATCTTTTTATATATACTTTTTGTCTTCTGGATCACTAATTTTGAACTCCTGTTTTTTTTGTTTTTATGTAATTTTGCTACAATAACTTTTTTGCCTTTTTCATACAATTCTTTCAAAAAATCATATCAAATGCGATGCAATAAAAACATATACACCTATTCTTTATGTTATACTGATATGAGCATACACAAATTGATATTTTAGCATATTTTAAATGAGATTTTTAATTTTTTTCGATGCTCATTTCGTAAGTTGCCTATGCTCATTTGAAATTGGCGTAATGCTCACTTTAAAATGAGTATTACACCAGACATTTTAAAATGTCATATCCTTGCATATTGGTGTAATGCTCATTTTAAATATTTCGATTCTCATTTCATAAGTTATGTATTCTCATTTGTTGAAATTGTACTCATCCTATGCTCATTTTTAAAATGTTATATTCATGCAAATTTTAAAAGTTGCATATGACATTGGATTCACATTGTTAAGTTCTTAATACTCAATTAAATAGTCTGTTGCTCATTAAAAGTGTTTTAATGCTCATAATAGGTCCAATGCATATTAAAAGTTCATAAATGCTCATTTAACAGAAATTGTAATTTCATCTCAATAGAGGAAATTTGATGCTTAATGAAAATGTCGTTATGTCAAAACTAATAAATCTTACGATTTTCATATCAATGAAGATTTGTAAGTTACGTATGCTCATTAAGTACTAATCTTATGCTCATTTTCTAAATGTTATCAATGTATTTTTATAAAGTACAATTAAGATTTATAAAAGAAATAATAATAAAAAGAAAGTGAAGTTATGAATTAGAAGTTATGAAACGGAGATCACGATTCTGAATATTAGACTTCTAATACTCAACATTAGAAGTGCTTAGTGGGAGCTCTCGAGTTCGAAACCCGCTAGACACATAAGGGTTCAAAACTCAATGGAGTGAGTTTCAGCCCTGATTACTCTAGGCTCCCCCTAGCCCCCTCGCCCAGACCTCCCCTGGAGTAAAAAAAAAAATCAACATCAGACTTCTAATACTCAACATAATAGGTTTGATACTCATTAAAAGTTCAGTAATGCTCATTCACTAGAAACCGTTATTTTCATCTCAATAACGGATGTTTGATGCTCAATTAAAATGTTGTGAAGTTCAACTAACAAACCTTACAATATTCATATCAATGTGCGTTTTGTAAGTTATGCATGCTCATTTTGTACTAATGTTATGCTCATTTTTAAAATGTCATATCAATGTATATTTCAAAAGTATCAAATTACATTAGACTCGCATATTTAAATTAATAGTAGTGGATCATAGCTATAATTTAATAAGTTTTTATGAAAGGAAAAAGTAAGAAAAAGAAAAAGAATTAGAAGATATGAAGCAGAGATCATGATACTCATTATTAGTCTCATAATACTCAATACAATATGTGAGATGCTCAACAAAACTACATTATTGCTCATTTAGCGGGAGCCATGATTTTCCGCTTAAATTACCAAACTGCCACCGAAAAAATAGGCTGTTTTAATTAAATGAGAATTAATGAATTTTTAATGTGCATCAGAGCTATTATGAGCATTACAACACTTTCGATGAACATCAAACTTATTAGGAACCTACCAATATATAATAAAACTATAAATATATTTATATAAATTAATAGTATGATTCCTAGATCAAATAAGTACTTCAAAAATATGAATTAGTCTTTAAATATGGTAATAATGAGCAAAAGCAAAGAATAGTTAATATTATAATTACTATTAATAAACAATTGTAGTATGGAGTATGAAATACGTAGCATAAGGGGGTGTTTGGATCTGATTCTCAAAACTGATTCTGCTCCTTCAGGGAGCAGAAGCAGAAGCTGGAGTGTTTGGGTGAAATTCCAGAAACACTTCTGGAGCTCTAATTTACTCTCAGAATCAGTTTTTTTAGAAGCTGGGAGGTACCAGCTTCTGGAAACTGATTCTGATTCTGCTTTTGCTTTTAAAAAAGAAGCAGAAGCAGAATCAGTTCCAAACATCCCCTAAGTAAGATAAAAGAACAAATTATGTCATGAAGGCAAATTGGCTAAGGAATCCGGGTTTGATACTAAGAAAAGAGTTAACAGTTTTTAACTCTTGCGTTTGATACTAGGAGCTCCGCGAAGGAGGTCCATTTTCCTTTCCTTCTTCTCTATTTTTCTCTGCTCGACGGTTCCACCCGCCCACATCCCTTCTCTCGGCTTAGCCAAGTCCGGCCTCCGCTCATCATCCATGTCCGATCAGATTTTCCCGGCGAAATCCTAGGTCCGCTGCCGAGCGCTAAAATGGAAGCTTCAAATATCCGCTCCTATCGCCGAACCAGGTCACTTCATAGTAGTCCACTGCCCCAAACCTCAACATTAAAATTTGTTTTCTTTTTCTTTTAGACATGGGTCCCTGTATCTTCATCAATGCAAGATTCCATTTTCTATCTCCACTCTTTATGGATTTTCTCTCTTCTGTATTCCTTTTTTTCCCCTCAATTCTAGTTTTCTCTCTCATTTCATTCTCTATTTTCTTATTCCCCTTTCCAACTGGCGTACCAGGCTAGTAGTTTTATGTGTGCATCCTTTGTGTGAATGGTTTTTTATTGCCTACTTCATCAGTTCGTGTGAGCTTCACAGCCGTCACTTCACTTCTTTCATTTTTCTTTCATTTTATGCATTCCTTTTTGAAAATAGGAATATTCGTCAGTGGACTTGATCTGAGAGCTGGCTTCAACTTCACCTCTCAAACACTCCTCTAGTGTCGCTGCTCCTCATCACGTTCATCAAAATGAGCGAAATAAATTCATGGAAGTTATTGAAGCAACTTGAGCATATATTGGAGTCAGATCCATTGATGTAAGGTTTAAGAAATTTTCTTTCGTCCAGATGTAGATTCATTTTTATTCAAAAGAATGGCTCAAAATTTTAAATAAGTTTAGAAACTAGTTTGTAGGTTTTATTTTGAAGGTCTATTAAATGTTTTGCACATTGCTGAGTTTTTATCTTTTTATGCAAGGGTTGAAGCTATTAAAGGATAGGTGGGTTATCATTAAACCATTAATATTCTTTCTCATTTGCTTTATATGGTGCACATAATGAAAATTTGCAATACACTGTAGCCATGGTATCGAAGTGTGACATCAGTAATTGGTAAAGTTTGAGAATCATACATAAATTTTTCTTAATAAATAGGAGTGACTACTTGCTGAATCTTGTGTATCCGACTGCTTACAGTATCTCATTACGTATTTAGTAGAACCATAAGTAGATTAAAAGTTAATTTAATGTATGAATTTACTGCCAAGACTGCATCTTTGTAAACTTCTTAAACTTCATAACAATTTCAGTGCTGAAATTTCCTCCTTATTGTTATTGTTGCTCATGGGAACTGTATCTGGATCTTTAAGGTTCCGTTTGGGTAGTCCGTAGTCCGTTTTCGATCATTGTGGTATCAGTATAATCATTAGATTTTGACTTATTTCGCGGTAATAGATGTTAGTATGTTACCAAACACTTCACCTTTGAGGAAATTCAACAAACTCGGCCGATTTCAGCCACATAACTGTTACCAAAATGGCCCTTAATGTTTTGATCATACAGGAAAACAAAAAAAAGTCATTTTTAACATAATATGATAATTCCCCCCTTACCCCCACGACTGTACTTCAACCTAGCTGCCTAGGCGAGTAGGCTTTCTAACGGAAGTATTGTCATTTCATTCAACTTGATCACGTTCTCTCATTTTATCATGTATCCAGTGATGAAATTGGATTTGTTCATCCATCTCAATTTGATGCTCTGAATGAAGACGATGGCAATACTTCCTTGTCTCATGAATCTGAGCTTCAACCATCAGACAAAACTGTCATATCTAGTGATTTTTTTTGGAGCTGTAAACATAAGTTGGGGGTCTCAACCTCCGCTCTTCTTCCACTGTACAAAGCTGCAAAAGATGCGTTCATGGATTCACTGAGACAATATAAAATGCAAAATGGTATAACTAATGATGAATCTGATGAGGGCAATACATCAAAGTCCCCCTCATCATCTTCTCTTACTGTTCTTGAGAATGAAGTGATGAAACATAGCAGAGCAGTTTTGCTCCTGAGCTGTGATTTTGGCACAGCATGGAATTTGAGGTTTGGTTCTTCATACGCAATTGGTTATCCTTATAAAAAATCAGCATTATTTTGTTGCTGTTTGCATTTTCTCCTTGAAACATTGAAAAGTTTAGTTTTACAGATTGATGCCTGAAACATGTTTCCACCATTATATTGTTTTTTTATAATTCATGTAATTTTCTTTTGTTATTCACGTCATTTTCTTCATAGTCTCGATCAACCTCTTATGGAAAATTTGACATGTCTTAGTACTTAAAACTCAATCATGGCTTTTCCTCATCATTTTAAGAGATGCTAAACATTTCTTCATAGAGAGTTAGAGAAGTGTCATTTGAGAGTGGATTGTTGAGTTTTGCTTAGCCGTGGTCACTGATGAGTTTAAGGCTGTGTTTGGATGATCGTTTCAGCTCAAAATGACCTGAAATTTGATCTATCCAGATATGTAAGTGACATGCTATGTTTGGATGATCATTTCAGGTCAAAATGAGCTGAAATTTGATCTATGCACATAATTAATTGACATGTAGCCTTGTTTGAATAAAGAGCTGAAATTGACTGGGTCTAAAATTAATCAGCTGATTTGTCAACTTTACCCTCTTGTTATTCAAATTCTATCTAGTTCCTATTGAAAATTCGTTTTTAGGGTAATTTTAAATTTTCCGGTCATTATTTCAGCCCTTAGCCAAATAAGTCTACTTCATTGATCTAACATTTCACTGTCAGCAACTTCTATACAGCTTCAGAAAATAGTCTCTAAATTAAACAATAGACTTCAGTGTTAGGTTGGTCTTCCAAACATATCCTAAGAGACTTGACATGGAAGCTCCTTGAGCAATTGAGCCTGGTAAATTTTTTTAAAGGTTAGTGGAGACGGACTAAATGAAAATGGCGTAAATTATAGGGATGAACAAATAAATATTAGAGTGACACAAATGAAAGGATGCTATGTTTGCAAGGACAGATAATATATTGAAGTCTTCAGAGATGTATATAATTGATGATTTACCATAGTCGTTTTAATGTTGAAGGTAAAGGCATTCAACACCTCTTGTTTGCTCACTATAAAAGAAAGATTGGGTTCTTAACTTGCAGGAAACTACTTGTTTCAAGGCGTTACAAGTACTCAATTTTCATAGAAGAACTGCATATGTCAGATCTTGTCCTCTCATATTCACCTAAAAGCGAAAGAGCATGGAGTCATAGGTAACCTTAGATTTTGATCATACATCATTCTATTTCTGTTAATCTTTCACAGTAACAATAGTCCCTACATCCTCAAAAAGGAGCCTCTCATATTCACCTAAAAGCGAAAGAGCATGGAGTCATAGGTAACATTAGATTTTGATCATACATCATTCTATTTCTGTTAATCTTTCACAGTAACAATAGTCCCTACATCCTAAAAAAGGAGTATTGTTTGACCAAATTATAATTTTATTGTTTTGATAAGGCACACCATTGTAAGACAAATGATACATATAGTCATATATTATAAAAACTTCTATGATAGTTTGACTAAAATTTTGGGACTTCTTTTTTTGGGACAAAAGACGCATATAAAATGGGATGGTGGGAGTACCATGTAATGGGTGTGGTTTGGACATGAAAATAAGAAGACTGAAAATAGAATGGTTGGGACATGTAATGGGTGTGGTTAGAGTAACCCTAAACCTATTGCAAATATTCTCTTTGGGGAAATTACCTATTATGATGGGAAACTACTACTAATAGTAATAATCAAAATATAGAATAATAATATAACTTTTGAAACTATATAAGTTATTACAATGACTAAGAAACCTTAGAAACACAATTTGTGATATTTTTATAGTTTTCTTTTATTTTTTTGTTTTATTTTATTAGAATAAACATAATATTTTCAAACATATGAGGTATTTATAACCAAAAAATCATAAAACTTCTAAGGAGCATAAGTAGAAATCAGAATAGAAAACACAATTATGAACAAAAAGAAGGAAACCTAACTAGGTGGGCTAGGCAGCATTCCACCAACCATCTAGTATTATCAACATTAAGTGTTGATAATTGTCTTATTCTTTATTTATGTCTATCTTGTAGCGAGATTTTTTTGCTACAAGATATGGAACTGCTTTGTTTATATTCTACATTTTCAAATTATGATATGATTCTTATAAATGCTAAATAATGTTAGGAGATGGGTGATCAAGATGGTTGCTGGAAAGTATTCCAATCTTGAAGAGATAGTGGACAGAGAATCAGAGTTTGTGAAAAAACTATCTGAGGTTTTATATTGGACATAAAGTGTGGTGGTGGTGGGGGGGGGGGGGGGGGGGGGGTTAAACGCATTTATTAGTATGACTGATTGATGCACATCTTGGGATAATTACTTGGATTTTTATGGACTTCTTGGTAAAATATTAATAAACACTGATTGTCTTTGGCTGGATGCTATTTTCAGAGGTCAAAAATGAATTACCGTGCATGGAATTACCGTTGCTGGTTAGTAGCCTACATGTCTGTAGGTCAAGTAAGTGACTTGCTGACGCGTCTGTGCCTGAAATCACACTTTGTTCTATCAACAATTCCAATTTACTTTTTGGAAAGTAGTAGATGAATATTAACACGTTTCTTGTTCTTGTAATATTAATTTTGTTATTCATTCCTGCACAATTACCGCGTATCTTCTTAGCCTCTCTCCCTGAAAGTGGAGCTGAAAAGAAAATAACTGAAATAATCAACTACAAAAATAATTTTATGGCATGTAAAAAGGAGCTATTCACTTGATATCAATAATGCAATTCTCATTTCTCTCTCGCTTATCTTTCTACTCCCTCCGGACCTTTTTAAACTTCACAGTTTGACTTCACATTGATCAAGGAAATAAATTTGACCTTACTGTAGAGCACACTGTTGAGACACTGTTTGGCACTGTTGAGACACTGTTTGACACTGTTTAGCACTGTTTAACACTGTTTTGATGTGGATTTCTTTGCCAAATAATGAAATAAGGAAGTGTGAAGTTTATTTTGGACCGTCCCAAAAAGGAAAGTGTGAAGTTTAAAAAGAACTGGAGGGAGTAATAGAAAGTATGTTTAATCCTTAAGAATCACATTTCGGCATCCAGGAAAAGCTTCTTCTAACATTAGTTATTTTGAGACATGATACCTCGAAAAGCTTCTTCTAACATTAGTTATTTCTAACATCCAGGAATCACATTTTATGGCAAGTAATTTGAGTTTGCACCCCATTTTATTGTCCAAATAGGACTTTGCACCCCGTTTTTAAAAAAACTTTGTTTTTGCACCTCAACCCCATATGAAAAGACAAAAATGCCCTCAACAAAATTGTTAATGGAGGGGCATTTTTGTCTTTTCATATGGGGTTGGGGGTGCAAAAACAAAGTTTTTTTAAAAACGGGGTGCAAAATCCAATTTGGACAATAAAATGGGGTGCAAACTCAAATTTCCCCTTCTTAATCATGGTATTATTCCAAATACTTACTGTTTCAACGCGTTTTAACTTTTTAAGGGTTTCACACCAACCACATCCCCCTAAAAAATTAACAAGTAAAATTGAAGAAAGAGAAAATATGAGTACATTGTTGTAATTGTGTACCAAATAACATTATTCAGGTTCTAAGGTTTCATACTTTTTCTTTTCTCCAGTTGCGTGGTGAGTTAAATAAGTCTCAAGAGTGGGCTGGACTTCATGTTGCTGACAACTCTTGCTTTCATTATCGTGCTGTGAGTCTCGCGTAATGATCATTCATGTGATATCTGAAAGATACTATCGTATATATGTACTGCTTTTTGTAATTCTCCTCCCTCACATGGATTATATAAATGCATCTAAAATTGCTCTCTGCGCAAAACTTATAGTTTAAGTTTAAATCGGATTGCACATTTGTGATGCATTTCGGGAAGTTGGTAGTCTCTAGCCCATCACATGCATGCAGCAATCTCCTTCATATAATTATTAGTGTCTGTTTGATGCCACCTTCTTTTTTGCTAATCAGACTTGTCACCCAGTTTATTTTTTGCCAAACTCCAACTTGGTTACTCATGTTACTTGATCAGTGTTATTTTTTTGCTAATCAGACTCATGTTATTTAATCAGTGTACTCGGCTACTCGCGTTGTGCTTCTTACGCAACTTTATAAGAAGTACCGAGTTACTTGGCAATTTAGTGACTTGATGCGGCTGATTACTAGACGATTAACTCGGTCATAGTTAAAATGAAAGATTGAAAATAAGGATTAGGTAATATGAGATTAAAAATAACTTAGGGTCTTCAATTAGATAAAATACTTGTTCAATGTTTTAAAAGTTTTTAAAAAACTACAAGGCCCCACTCAATATGTGCATGTGAAATCGTGGAAAATGAAGACAATAAAGACCTTGAACCAAATGATGAGTAATTTATGAATTGCTAGTTATTGTGGACTATTGTTATTTGCTTTATAAATAAATCTTATGAAAATATTAAACTAACATTATTAGAAGTTTGTAACATACTTTTCAAAATTTTACTATTACCTCCGTCCCGCTATGATTCTAACACGAGGAAGTGACCCAATTATTAATAAAAGGGATATTATGCAGTTAGTATTGAATTTATAAAGCATGTATAAAGTAAGAATGAATTGGTACCACACAAATATTACCAAATATGATATGGGAAAAAATAGTGGGCCGGAGGGAGTAATAAGAAATGACATGAAGTCCGTGAAGGTATTCCCCAACAAGATTAACTCATCCGCCTAAGGTTGGCCAACTCAGAAGAGTCTCAAGTTCTATTAATCTCTTCAGTCTCCATGTCCTCTTTGCTAAAGGAAGCCTTATTTATAATCTATTACGGAGTACTACATTTTCTTTATTTATTAAGAAAATATTTTTAAGTGTTGTATTGATAGTTGAGTAGGTTCAGTCAGTTCAGCAAAATTAGCAGCAGCTTCCTCAAATGAGGTCACCAGTCATTCAACCAAATTTACACTTTACGAACGGGCTCTTAATTATTATGCCCACGTACACACTGCCATTAGACTCCCATTAGGTTGAGCTACAGTTCAGTTTGAAAATTAAGCGCAATCAACTTGATAAGCAATATGAGTTCCCCAAAGCTGAAAAAGAATATAGCCCTTGTTGGTCACTTTCATTTATTTATTTTAGTGTTCTTGAACATGTTACCGTGCTTTAAAAATATCTGTATGAACTTGTAATGGACTTCTTTTTGTTTTTGCTGAATGAGCAGTGCTTAATGCTCAGGATATTAGAAGCTTTTCTTAACAAAGATCAAACTGTATGCTCCAGTGAAGAACTTCATGTGACATGGAAGGTACCGTGCAGTATGGAAAATTGAAGTTTTATTGAATAACATCTGACCTTCTACAAACAAATGATCTTTGATGTCAACTTTGATTTTTTTTTTTTAGATTGTAGCGTATCTTGTCAGCATTTCATATTTAATTGTCTCTTCATTTTTTCCATCCTTATCCCAGTGCCTTTTGTTTTCCAGTAAATAGAAAGTAAAAAAAAGTGAAAAGGAAGACCAGCAAAATAAAAATCAGAGCTTGATAGGCAAGGTTGATAGACCGGCCTTCTTGACTTCTATCACTTTGAACCACTAGTTACAACTTAAGTACTTAAGTAGCTAAGAGTAATATTTAATGGGCTCCTTGGTTAAATGGTAAATGCTAAAAAACATTATTTGGCGTAGCCTTTGTTAGACAAGCAGGAAGGCAACCAGTCCAGTTATATAAGAAAGTCTATCAAAGGAGGAGTAATAAATCAGTTAGTATTAACTAACTAGTCGGTTAGTTCTGTTGGTTCCCTGCGTGGACCATTTACTATAAATAGAAGCTGATAGAACTAAAAAGGAGGCTGTTATGTTGGTTAGGACTGGACTGGGAGACTGGGCATCTCGAATTGTCTAAAGCTTGTATACCTACTGTTAATCTGTTCTTGTTCAATAAAATCTACTGTTGATCTGTTATAGCCTAGAATTTCTTGATTTTCAATTGTTCTGATCAGTAGTATACCAGTGTTCTATCAGTCTTTCAGTTCTTTGAGATGTTCTGAACCTGACCTACCTCTCCCCCATATTCCCTTTTCAGGAGGAGCTTGACTGGGTTGAGAAGTTGATAAAACTACATGTGGGTAGAGAGGTATACTTGATCAATCAATCATCACTCATTACCTTTACTTTCGTTAAAGTTCTAAGATATATTGTTCAGTGTTTAGCTAGCAACATGTCATCAATAAAGGAGTACCATGGGTGCTACTTGTTATGTATCCCGCATTGCTTGTGTATTGGGGCAGAATCTAGTATATAAACATGTTGCATATTCCGCATAGGGTTATATATGTATAATCATAAGATAAATTTCACTAATGTGGTGCTTGAATTTGTTCAAAAGTGCTCTGTTCGTTAATAGCCATTTTAAATTAGGAAATTTTACTGGTCCTTAAAATTAACCTATACTCACTACATAAATAGGTTATATATTAGGCTTTGGTCCTGTGTATATATAATCATAAGATAAACTTCACTTCCTTAGGTGGTCGTGCTTGAATTTGTTCATAAGTGCTCTGTTCGTTAATAGCCATTTTCAACTTGGGAATTCTTATTGGTCCTTAAAATTTAATCTATACCCAGTACATGATTAATCTCTACGCATTATAGGTATTCCATAGGCCCAAAAATTTATTGGTCCAAATGCTTGTATGCTCTGTGTTGGTGTTTGTGGCAAGCCAAGCTCCACATATTTGAGCTCAATTTGAACCTATTGAGAACTATACATGTGACTGAAGTGACTAGATGCCCCCTCAATTCAAGTTTTCAAGCTGCCTTGGCTCTAGTTTATAAATGAGTATCAGAGTCCAGCTGGACTCATTTTTAAACAATAGCACCACAAAGCTTGGCTTGATAAATTCGTGAATATTAATCTAGAGCTCACTTTGTTAAGCTTCAAAATTGAGCTTGGATATGAAAGTTTCATTTGAAGCTAGATGGACACAAATAGATTATTATAAAAGCCCACCGGATACAGAGATACTACGATCAAAGCCTCACATAGTCACCTGCATCTTAAAACCAGGTAGATACTATGATAGTAATAACTGACATTTGTACCTTTCCAGGCTTTGTGGCTTCACCGTCGCTTTCTCGCATCATCCTGGGTAAAATATTTTGCTGCTTCTATGATGGGTACTTGTGATATTGACAAGTTCATAGATAATGAATTACAACTATTCAATTCCTGTGCAACAATAATTGATTGTAACTTCGAGGACTACCGATCTCAGGCAACATATGCTGCTACTTATATTATGTGGCTCCAGAAGGTAGCTTTCTATCCTCTACTTCAGAGTGGATCATCAAATCTTAAGAGTTTGTTTTACTTAAATTTTAATTGTTAAATCTGATATTAAATTTTGGTAAAATGACATTTCAGTTTAAAGTATATTAATATTAAAATACTATACGCGTATATGTTATAAAAGTTCAAATTACTTAATTAAAGTTAAAATTCAGTTTAATAGTATTATAGATTATGCTGGATACTCGTTTTTTTCCAGTTTGTAAAAGTAATCATCTTTCCTGGTATCCAATTCGATACTAATCAATATTACATCTGAATTCCATCTGGATTTTGAAAATGTGCAGCAGCATGGATTAAGGGATCTTGATATCTCCGCGATTCTTTTTCCAATGTATTCGCTGTATTTCCATTTTTATATTTCCTCAATTTTAATCAAAACTATCAATATTTGAATTACCACTTTGTGACAATATATTAATATCCATTAATATATAGTGATAATATACTAAAATCCATTATTTCATGCATTTAAGTGTTGATATTTAACTGATTGTCCTGTTTTTAGCCTACATGCAACTGATGAGCAAAAATATCAGTTTATCCCAAATAAGTATTGTAAACAATAACACTACATTTTTCATTGAGATTATCAAATTCTTAAATATTTAACTCGAGATAATAGATACTCCATATTTTCTAAGGTTGTGTTTTCTAAGTCACAAGTTAGATTTAAGTTGGCTATTAGCTTTTCTAAAGAAAGCTACGAAAAAATGTTGTTTTATATGTAGTACATTTTTTATAAACCTGGGCTTGTTTTATATGTAGTACATTTTTTTAGTAGCTTTTAAGTTACATGAGCTTTCAATTTATGAAATATAAACATATCATTTTTATGTCATTTTGTATTTAAAACGAGCATATAAGCTATGGTCTACGAAACACTATGAAATCATCTTTGTTGTCACTTATAACTTGTATTAAACGTATCAATCAATAGCCAGGTTGTCTGCTTGTTTTGCCATGCAAAGTCTAAGAATTAATACTAATGAAGATAATCATACAGATTATACACAAGGGCAATTAAGTCTTTCTATAAAAATCTTTGAATTGTAACAGATGGGGTATCACATTGTTTTTGTAAACTTATCTGACAAACTAATAGAATAGTGATAAGGGTAGCCAGCAGGTGAGAAGAGGGTACTAGGAAAATGTTCAGAGAAATAAATCTGTTTTACAAGAATACCCTTGAGGTAGTTGTGCTTAGGTCACCTATACAGCTATACTCGCTCAATGCAAGGGTGGTAGTAGATTTTCCTGAACCTATTCCCTACCACTCTTTCTCATCGTCTCTGTCATTACATACCACACCAGGAGACGTGAGAGTGGATCACAGAACCCCTACCACACTTCTTAAATTTTTCACCCCCCCCCCCCCCCCCCAAATGACTATTTATTCACAAGAAAGCTTTTGTTCTTGTGTCTCCAGCAAATCCTGGTGGAGCCTCTGGGAGTCGAGTGTCACAGGAAGCTGCGAGTGAGTGGGCTGAAGTCATTGTTAAATAATGCATGCCCAGAGAAGGCTTTCCTTTGGGGGTCATTGCTTGATGTGTGTGGATTTGAATGATTAGCTCCCAACCATGCCCTATTAAACGCATCTTATCTCTACCTTTTGATTTCACCTCAACCGGTTGAAGGTGTCAGGTAATTGCTTAGGCGGTCCAAGGTGCACTGAACCACGGGTCAAGATGAACTGAGGAGGTCCAGGGTGCTTCACGCTTTTTTTTTTTTTAATGTACTACGTACATAGTAAAATAATATAGCATGTAAATGCTATTTTCATGTTTTGTACCATTGGGTTGATGACAACTCTTGCGTTAGCTCACAATGTTTGACCTCATACTAATTTGAAATGAATACTTGTATATATAAATTTGGTTGTATTAAGAGACATTAAAAGACATCCACTATTTGAATATAAAAATTTTGAGAAAAATTCTTAGTAACACAAAGTGTACAGAAAAACTCATAGTTGTTCATAGTTGTTTGTGTACATGGACAATTAATTTAAAAAGGATTAGGACTTAGGTTTTGATGACAAAATCTCTCTAATTGTTTGTGTGGATTAGGACTTGGGTTTTGATGACAAAATCTCTCTAATTGTTTGTGTATATATGCAATGTATACATTTTGTGTACATGAGAGTCCGAGAATGACCCATATTTAAATTCTCCAATGTTACCAATTAGAATCGTATAGCTTTCACATATGGACCATATGGCGCCTGGACAATAATACACCCCCCAGTGGAAAAAATAAGAAAAAGATGATAGTGGGATACTGGGATGGGACGTGAAAACTCTGATTTCTTCTTTGGGAAATCATATTAGTTTAAATATAAAACATATTATTGCAGAAATGAATATAAATATGAAGCATTATATAGGAAAACTAGGGGTTTAGAAATGTAAGCTTTTTACAGAAAACTCATAAAACAACACAAACATTTTTAAATAATTATTGTACGTAACCGGCTAACCGCTAGTCCGCTAGGGCATGTGTATATGTACAATTGTACTTATGGACCGTCCGGACCCAATTATTTGCGGTTTCAGGCAGGTTCCAGTCCCGGTTCCGTAATTCTTTTTGTCCAGATCCAAGGCTGGAAACAAAAAAAAAATACGACCGTGACCCATCATGGCCGGACAAGGTCAGTCCTTGGCCCCAATTCCCAAACTGGAAAAATGGACTCACTCCGGGCCCAAACAATACAAACCGGTTCTAGACCGGGCCAAGTCCATGCCTAAATGGAGTTTGAGTTAGGGGTGGACCGGTTCCGGTTCGGGCCCGGCCGGGCCTCGGTTCAGAAAAATGAGGCCCGAGCCCGAACCGGTGGTGGGCGGTTCCGGGCCAGACCGGGCCGGGCCGCCCGGATTTTTAATTTTTTTTTCTTCTTCTCTTATTTAACCCCCTACCCCTCTCTCTCCACCCCAAACCACCCCAAACCACCTCAAATGGCCCAAAATATCTAATCCAACCCAAAACTTGAAAAAATTCCCCCCCCCCAAAAAAAAAAAAACGGCCCGAACCGGGCCCGGCCCGGCCGGGCCAGTTCACTAAAGTGGAGGCCCGGGCCCGGACCGCTATACCACCGGGTCGGGAGGCCCGAACCGGGCACGAACCGGTTCACCGGGCCGGTCCGGGCCCGCACAGTAGCGGGCCGGTCCGGTTCCGGGCCGGTTGGCCCAGCCTGAGTCCATCCCTAGTTTGAGTCTTTTATGCAATTTCCACTTTCAAGATGGACCAGGTGGTGGTAATGTGGAATATACGCATGAATCATGATCATGGATAAGTTTGGCATCAGAAAAAAAACAACATAAAACGCAGCATCACCGCATTGTTGTGCTTTGGTGTTTCAACTTACAAGCTTTGAAACAGCAAAACTATACAAGGCTAACTTTTCATAACATTTACAAACCTCCCATTTCTTCCCTTTAAAACAGGAGCAAAAGAAGCAAAAAAAAAACTAGATTTCATATTGCATCAGTAATAGGGAATGATTCTCTCTACAGAGACAGACTTAATTTGTGAGAAAAAATAAGGCACATTACAGTTGCAAGCCAATGTAGCCTTATTTTTCAGCACAAATACAGCCACTGACGTCTAGGGTAGATGAGAATCCCAATCATTAGCAAGACCATGGCTGAAGTGCATCATAGGAAATAGAACAGTAGATATCTCCATAGGCCATGGCCAAGTGTTGATATCTCCAATCAAAATGGCAGGCGTTGAGCAGATGTAGCCACTATAATTATAACTACACATACTACCAGCTGCAAACTGAAGCAAACAAAACAACTTAACAAAGTGTCATAAAGTAAAATATGTCATCAGACACTTTGCATCTGTATATAAAATGTTATTACTATGGACATTTCTGTTTGTGCAACTTTTGGTGTACACCCCCTATTTTGCCTGTGATCTGTCGATTAAGATGCAAAATTTTCAAAACTTGTCTGTGTACATATATAAGGTGTACGAAGGGTGTACAAAAAGGTGCTCACAAAAAATGACCCTATTATTGTAATGTGTGGCCGGACTATTTTGGCATACAAGGCAAGCTTCCAGGTTTATAAGGTGTACAAAAAGGTGCACACCAAGACTAGCATTTGTCATACTTAGTCCATTTAGCAAAAAAAAGGCTAGTAGAGAAATGAGATGGACCTATCGAGTATATTTACTACAATCTAAGAATCAAATCGCTATACAGTCTAGCTTTGGCTGCTTTGTCCTATAAAAACCTAAAAGCCTTATCTAGTATCAACATCCAGGGTTTCTGTTTATGATTCTATTATTATCTTTATAAGGATTGCTTAAATTAAAAATCATGTTCGGAGACAAGGTCTAGCAGCAAGTCCGTAACTCTCTGCTACGGGGCGAGAGGCTTGAGTTGATACCATCATCACCATAGCTTCTTTTTCCAAATGCTCTTTAATCAGTTTGTTTGAGCAATATACAACCTTTAATTTGGTCAATGTACAACTGCTATAACTATAAGTCATAAATGATACTTATTTCCAAGAAACGTTTTAACCAGTTTATGTAAAATTTTCACACTAAACTTGTTTGTTATACTAATTTGAGACATTTCTTGAAAAACTGTCCTAATACAATTTAACGCGACTCTTTTGGACAGAAATTTTTAGAAACATAAACGAATAAAACCTTTTTATGGGATGGAAGGAATATTATTCTTCACTTCCAATGTCTTCTCAGAGACCCTGGATGAGATCTTGTACACAAAGTCCTGAGCACTATGCTTGAAGTAAGCTTAACATTTTAAGGTCACGTGTAATGTCATTCAACCATGGCAGCACCATTATTTGTATCAGCTAACGTACAAGATTCATTGCAGATTTTGTCAAGATCTAGAGTTCAGGTTGGCCAAGAGAGAATATCCCAAGATTCAGGAACTTCCTCCTAGGATTTAATTCAGGCCCTCTAACTCTCCAAAATTCTTGCCGAACTGTGTTCTTGATAGTTGATATTATTATACTTAACTACAAATCTCCTTTCTCAAAAGAGGTTTAAGGCATTTATCAAATTCTTAACTTCAAAGTAGGTAACTAAATATTACCTCCGTCCCTTTTTATTTAGCCAACTTTGACATTCCAGTCAAAGGGGATAAACTTTGATCCATTATTTTAGCTAATATATTTATGTAAAAGTTAGTAAATTTATACTTTTATGATAGTGTTTTCAACAAAGAACATTTTCATATAATTTTCATATTATCGATATTACCGTGTATAAATATATAATCGGTCAAAGTTGAACAATTTAGACTTGAAAAATAATGTTTGGCTAAATAAAAGGGACGGAGGGAGACAAATAAGTAATTAAGGCAAACGAATCTAATAACTTAACCATTTCCAAACTACAACGATATAACTAACTAATCAAAAAGGTCAATTAACATATACAGACTAGCATAATAACAAATTAATAATTAATACTACTAGTAGTAGAAGTAATTACTATTATTGTAGTTGTTATTATTGTTGTTAATGCAAATTATCATTACTACTATATATAATAACATTACCATTATAATAATGATGACATAAATATTAAGTCAACACTTTTGAAAGACAAAAATATGACCACCTTTATTTTTTCCAAAAATGTGACTAACCTTTGTTTAACTGATTTATATTTCCTCTCCTAATCCCTTCTCAATTGCCCACCCTCTCCCCACTGCCCCTTTGGTAACCACTTTCAGAAACCACCGCCGGCGAGCGGCAAAAAAGTCTCCAGGCAAAGTCTACCGGAAATTTTTCTCTCTTCTTTTTTCAGTTTTTCGTTGAAAATTCACCAGGAATAATTGCCGGAAATTTTTGTAAGCCGCCACAATGACATGTTTAACTGCAGCGACAGAGGCACAGGTGCAGCCGTGCAGGTGACAATGACACCGCCTATAACTGGTAGAGACATAATAAACTAAGCAGTGACATAAAATAACTGCCATTGACATAATAAAATGGTAGTGACATTCATTGTTTTGCAATTCTATTACCTTGTTAGTTGCATTTGTCCATATGAAAAAGTAGTCAGTCATTTTACATGAGCTTCATTCCTATAACAGTTGTCCCTCATTTTTACAACTGCAATAAGTTTTCCATTATTTTACTCTTACCAGTTACCACTATCGTCCACTAAAATCCATTTCTTAATGATAAGGAATTGGATAATGAAGATCATAGTATAAAAATGCCTTAAGAGAGCAGAGTACTTACAAGTATGGGGGCTTTCATGCTTCAATAAACATGATTGCACAATGATCTGATCCTTTAGGATGGGAATGCAAATGAGTCCTAACCTCACTAATTTTCTTAGGATCCTCCAAAGAGCTGTTAGAACAGAATATATTCATTTGCTCCAAAACGATAGCAAAACTCAGCAAAAGTTTGATGAAACAAATTTCCATATCTTTTGCATGAAAATGGCAATAATTAACTGTCTTGAGACTTGATAAGAAACATGTTGGTATTGACTTCAAGATCCAGTCATTTTCTTCAGCTGCCATGCAAAACTCAAGTCCCTGTAACACACTCGTAGAATTAAAGCACAACCTTTACTGCGGCCAGAAGGGTAATAGAATGATACCTCAGGAAAATTAAGAGATTCTAAATTCGGGAAGCTTTGAATCAACTTCACCAGTGCTCCAATTGTTTGATTTTCAAGTCTCTTGCTCAAATGTAAATGTGTTAAGTTGTGAAAAACTGGAAGACGGTCAAGAACATCATCTGCAACGAATAAAGACTTCCCCGGGGAAAAGAGTCAAAGAAAAAATTGAAAATGTCAGTTTAATTGTCTGCTAGGTTTAATGCGCCAAACAACTTTTGATATACAAACTATGCAGATTAGTCCCTTTAAGTAAACAAAAATGTGTTAAATCTCTTGTTTTATGCACATAAAATACAAAAGATGAGATTTTTACTTCATTTAGATTTGCTGTTTGAAGGTATTTGATGAATCAAAAGGGGCTAATGCAAAGAAATTGTATGTTCAAAATGGCATTCATTCACAAACTTGTATACATAATTCAAAAGTTGTAGTAAAATACCATGACAGAACCAACAGATATTCTCAAAGAGCTGGAATTGTTCAGTCCTGTAAATAGCTTAGCCGCACGGATAGCCAATTGTTTCCTCTTCTCACACAGAGCAATATGAATAGAAGAATCAATTCGAGAAGACAGATTATAGACATAAATTTCATTTGTAAGATAGCCATTGTACTTGAAGAAATGGAGATTGGCTGCATCAATCTGGATTTCACAACCATTTAAATCATCAAGAGATCCAAAAAAGGGCAAGTCGTCTATTGTCAAACTCTTCAAAGAAGGAATGGATAAACAAACACACTTCAAATTCATCCACTCGCAATCTAATATAGCCAATTCTTGAAGCACGGGGCAACCAGAGAACAGTCCTTGGGTTGAGGTATCATCATGGAATGTGACAAGACATAGGTGCAAGGTTTTAAGGCATGGAAAAGAGATAGAATCAGGCAGTTCAAGGACGCAATTCATTTCTAGTTTTAGAACTGCAAGTGATGTACTATCAAAAACACATCGGGGCAAGGAAAAAGGTTCCTCAACAAAGAGGCAAAGGTCAAGCTCTTGAACATTATCTTTGATAGCTGATGATAGCCATGCGCAAACATGAGAGCCACTAAAACAAACACGGCAAGAAAGCCGAAATTTTTGAATAGTAGGTCTGTTCCTATGCTGAAGCACTGTTTGAACGAAATGCATAAAACAAGTGACTTTTAGTGGATAACCGAAAACACAGGTAGAGTACAACGAGGAGTCATCGAAGTCAAGATTAGGAACAATGGTCCACAGATTTTTCCACCGGGTAGACAATATGCACGTTGCTACTGCATCTGTGGTGGGAAGAAATGAAAGAATGTGATAAAGAATGCCATCAGGTAACTGGCTGATCATATCTTCACCATCATCACTCTTGACCATCTCAGACACCTTCCGGTGTTTGAAACTGCTCATTATCTCCTCCATTTTCCCTAAGAATATATAAGAAGCTATTATAGGTTAAAACAGAAAGTTTAACAGTATATTAATGAGTAATTCACCTACCACCTAGGTATAACTAAAACATGAGCTTCTTATATATGACTACCCGAACACCTTTTTAAGAACTTCTTCATTTAATGATCTCCTTTATACATGAACAACAGAACAAATACTACGTAACATCTTAGGAATAAAAATAGTAAGTGGTCATTCTTTGTCTTATTCTGGACAATTGTCTCTATATCAATGGGTTCCACATTCAGAGTCATATATATATTACTTGCTTCGCCCCTATTTCTTTGCCCCATAATCTTTGCCAGAACTAGTGTTAATTACCTGGTAGTATTTAAATTAGTTTTACTATTTAACTGAACCGCAATACTGAATTCCATTTCTGGGAAAAAAACGATGCCGAAAACCAGAAATATAAGGAATTGCATTTACCACATAAAATAGCAAAAAGGCCAAAAATAGCGACCTGGGAGTATAAGTTATAACAATTAACAACCCAAAAATATATGCTCCAAGAATGAATTCCATTTATGGAAAAATAAACGATGCAGAAAACTAAAGATAAAAAGCAATTACATTTACCACATAAAACAGTGAAAACGCCAAAAATAGCGACCTGGGGAGTATAACAATTAACGACCCAAAAAAAATATACTCCAAGAATGGGTTGGTTTGACACAAGATGCTATTTTTACCCCAAAAAAACTACCCACGACTTCTTTATCCACTAAAAGATCTATAAAGAAGAAAACAGCCATGAAGAAGATGGAAGAAGATACTTACAACTAGCTAGCGATAATGAGGGGTACAGTACGGAGGCATCGCAAGGGGAAGACAAAAGCTTGGTGGGAAGGATATGAATGGGCACACAAACCGAGTGAAGAAAGAAAGAACTGTACAGAACGACGCTCTGTTGCCTTCTTTCGTTTCTGGAAGCAATTGTAGTGGCGGTAGCAGACCGAACGGGCGTCGTGGCAGATACATGTCAGTCTCCACCCCATCCATGTTCATTGGCGGTTGTTTTTTTTGTTTAAGACCAGACCAAACTTCAATCACATTTTAAAAAAGGTGTCAAATAAATCATTATATAGAAAAATCTGTCCGGACGTGCCATTTGAGGTGGCTCCTGGTGGAATTTTGTGACAAATTTTTTTGAGCATCTCATTCATTAAGTCTAGTTTACTCATACCAAATTTCAGCTAAAAATTCAATCAGGAAGACATGCAAATGAATTCTTGAAGATAACAGCGCTTTTAACGACACAGTTATCTTCAAGAATTCATTTGAATGTCTTCCCCGTTGAATTTTTATCTGAAATTTTGGTATGAGTAAACTAGACTTAATAAGATGCTCAAAAAATTTCATCAAACAATTCCACCGGGAGCCACCTCAAATGGCACGTCCGGACAGAATCTTCTATATAAGGACTTATTTGACCCCTTTTTTGCAACTTCGAGGACCGAAGTGACCCTTATCCCCATTTTAAACGCTTGAAATATGCACAAAAGAATTTTTTATCAATTGAGATTGGGAAAAATAATTAAAATACACCAAACTTTGGGTGTGAGATAAACATCCTAAATTTTTATATGTAATTTAAATACTTCAAATCTTATATAAAAAATTATTTTCGCACCATGATATTGTATTATTTCTTTCAAAGATGTAAATTTGTAGTGTGTTTTGCATAATTCAAACCAACAAATTAAAAAGGTGGCAATTCTGTAGAGTGGGTGTAGTATTATTTATTTTACAATGGAAGTTTAGAATGTTAATGGTATCTCCATAAATGCTAAAGTATTTTAAATTATGAAATTAACACCAAACAAATTTTTTTGAAAGAAATAAAACATGACAATGGTGCTAAAATAATTTTTTGTATAAAGTTTAGGGTATTTAAATTACATATGAAAATTTGGGATGTTAGCCTCACATCTCTTCAAAGTTTGGGGTATTTTAATTATTTTTCCCATTGAGATTAGACCAATATTGGGCTAGCTATGAAGTACGAATACTTCACCAGAGTGTCGTATCGATTTATCAGAAACGTTCTCGTATCAAGTACTCTATGATACTCGTACCGTATGTTTCCGAACCGTATTTGTAATTTATTAAAAGTTTCCAAGTCTTTTGATAATTATTTTAAAGTTTCAGATATCTGTATTCTGACGGATACACATATAAACTTTAAAACAAAACATCCAAAATTTACATAATAAAAATTTAAAAAAAGGAAAATACAAACATACATTTTACCTTGCTTTTATCACGCACACAACTAACTCACTAAGTATACGGACAACAAGTAAAATATGAGATATTGGTGGAGATGACTTTGGGAGCATTGGGGATAAATGGGGATAAGGGTCAGTTTGGTCCTCGAAGTTGCAAAAAAGGTGTCAAATAAGTCCTTATATAGAAGATTCTGTCCGGACGTGCAATTTGAGGTGGCTCCCGGTAGAATTTTTTGATAAAATTTTTTGATCATCTTATTCATTAAGTCTAGTTTACTCATACTAAATTTCAGATTAAAATTCAATCAGGAAGACATTCAAATGAATTCTTGAAGATAACTGTGCCGTTAAAAGCGCTGTTATCTTCAAGAATTCATTTGAATGTCTTCCCGATTGAATTTTTAGCTGAAATTTGGTATGAGTAAACTAGACTTAATGAATAAGATGCTCAAAAAAAATTATCACAAAATTCCACCGGGAGCCACCTCAAATGGCACGTCCAGACAGAATCTTTTATATAAGGACTTATTTGACGCCTTTTTGCAACTTCGAGGACGAAACTGACCCTTTACTCAGGATAAATGAGTACTTGAGTTCACCAACCTTTCCATATATGTACTTGAATTGGAGGTTGTCTTTTTTTAAACAATGTTATCTCTGAAAATTGTTAGCTCCAGCAAAAATATATACTATCCTACATTTTTAATCGCAACATATTGAATTTTACATTATTCACATGTTTTACTTTGACTACATTTTACGTTATTATTTATGAAAATTATTTTTTTAAAAAAATATTGTTCAATTTATCTCATTACAAATTTTCAAAAACTTATTTTTTATTTTTTTTTACTAATAGAGATTAAGATATAATTACGGTCAAAGACGTGTGTTGGCAAGTGTGAAACGTTGACTGTTGCAACTAAAAAAGAACGAAAGAAGTATGTAACTATGTATGTATGTATTAGAACTTTTAGTTTTTTTTATTTATTAGAGTATTATTTTCATTTCCGTTATCCAAGAACTTTGCGTACTTGCACTTTTAAGATCAAAATTGTGTTTGTTTGACTTATTTTTCATTTTAAATTAATAAATTATTGACTACATGTATATTTTGATGTGCACAAGTATGTATGAGATAAATTTATTTTTAACTGTTTTGATAATGTGAATTGCTTCAATGCCTTGAATGGGGCAGAGGTCAGATGATGATATATATATATATATATATATATATATATATAGACACACACAGTCACACACATACACACACATTTTCAAAACAAAAATCTTGTAATTTTTAATATTTATAAATGCACCCCAAAATGCACCCCATAATTTTTAGTATTTATAAATACACTCTCATAACTTCAAATATTTATAAAATGTACCCGTATCCTACCTTTTTTTTGTCATATCTCCGTACTCATTTCCGCGTTTCCGCGTACCCGTATGGTGCTACCCCTGGATCTTTTGTGGCGTTTAAGAATAAGATAGTAATAAAGATAATGTATATAGGGCGTGGGATAGATGAAAAGGCAATAAAAATGTATGTTAAGAAGATGAAAAAGTGATACAAAAAAAGGATACAATAGTTTGTAAAAGTTACTCCATAAAAAATAGGAAAACATAGTTCAAATATTCTAGATTTTAAGAGGTGTGAGGTAAACACTAATTTTTTTCTTTTACAAACGTAAATTTAGTGTAAAGATTTAACAAGGAAAAGTATGTGTTTTTTTCTCCAAAATTGTCCCCAAGCTTGATGTGACTCGTATTTCTTCTTCTCTTGGCATGCCGACTACGCAAAACCTGGATAGATATTTGGGGGTTCCTGTGCTCCATGGAAGGGTGACTAATGGTACGTACCAGACCATATTGGATCGTATGGACCAGAAGCCCGCTGGTTGGAAAACTTCGACACTCGCTCTTGCTGAAAGGGGTTACTCTTGCCCAATCTGCGTTATCTGCAATTTCTGCTTATGTTATGCAAACTTCGGTTCTACCCAGTCATATTTGCAGTGAGATTGATAAAAGAATTAGAAATTTTGTTTGGGGTACCACCGCTGAAGAGAGGAAAATTCATTTCCTCTCTTGGGATGCCATTTGTCGACCAAAACAACAGGGCGGTTTGGGGTTCCGTTCAGCCAGACAGCTTAATCTGGCGTAAATGGTAAAATTGGGTTTGCAGTTCCTTATAGAACCAGATAAATTGTGGGTGTGGGTGCTTCAAACTAAGTATAATCAGGAGACAAAGACATGATTTCAACCGTAAAATTCGCTTTCCAAATCGGTGATTTGGCATGGGATCGTGGCAGCCCTACCTACAGTGGAACTTGGAATGAGGTATGGAATCTGGGATGGACGCAACACGGCTTTCTGGTCTAGTCGATGGCTAGACTCAGGCGAGAAACTTATTGACCATATTCTTCCTTCAGCTCTAGAACTAGATTTCTCCGCCCTTGTGGCACAGTTTTGCACAACCTCTGATGAGTGGGATTACCCCCTTCTTCGCTCCTTGATCCCAGAAAATCTAGTATTGCACATTGCAGGTATGTCCCACCTCACCCTGGCAGTGGAGATGATGCTCTTGTTTGGGGTTTTGAAAAGGATAGCCGCTTCAGAATTCGGTCAGCATATGCTCTACTAAGTGGACAGATTAACAAATAAGAGGGGCCGGACTGGAGAGTGGTTTGGCGTTGGCGTGGCCCCAATCGTATCAGGCATTTCCTTGGGCTCGTGGTGCATAACCGGCTACTTACCAATGAGGAAAGAAGACGAAGACATATGGCGGCAGAGGGCATTTGTCCACGCTGTAATCAACACCATGAAACAATTATGCATGTGCTACAGAAGTGTCCTTTTGCAATTACCACCTGGGAGCATCTTGCCTATCTTTCTTCTGATCGGACGAACTGGGAGGCTCCACTTCTTCCTTGGATCACACACCACCTGAAGGCAACGAGCAATAGTCTTCTTTTCGGGGTGGCTGCTGGTCTCTATGGAAGGCTAGAAATGAAGCTATATTTTCGGATACCCGCACCACCCCCGAGTCCCTTGCCTAGCGTATTAAACATTGGGCTGAGTCCATTGAGGAGGCTTTAATACATGACCGATCCACACATACCGGTCTACCAATTCACCAAAATGATGGTGGATGTCTCTTGGCCGCCGTCGCCGCCCACATGGGTTGCTCTAAATTCTGACGAATCAGTTATTCCTAAGACCAGACGAGTACTCGAGTAGCTGCAGGAGGGTTGTTTCATGATTCTGATGGTGGATGCTTAGCAGCGTACTCGGTGAACTTGGGATTTGCTCGATAAGAAGAGCCGAATTGAGAGCTGTTGTGCAAGGGTTATATTTTGCTTGGGAATTTGGATACCGACATGTACGAGTGCAGCTAGACTACAAACAACTATTCAACTTTTGATGGCAGAAGGTGAGCATGCACACTTGCATTCTTCTGAGGTCGCACAATTTCACGAGCTTATTAATCGAGATTGGACGATCAGAGTTGAACTTATCTACCGAGAGGGTAATCGGGTAGCAGACTTTTTAGCTAGCCTAGGCCATAGATTACTTATTGGTGTTCATTCTATTTCTAATGCTGATTCTAGATTATCGTTACACATTTTTATGATGTATTTGGGATTTCTCAGTCTCGTTTGATCATTAATGGCAGACTGGAGCTTTGCTCCTATGTTTCTACCAAAAAGAAACCTTGAAAGGGATATGTGCCGATAAAAAAGAATGGAGAAAATACCACTTCCGTGAATTATG